GCCAAATCTTGCCCCAAGTCCTAGAAAAGCAGCCCAAACAGAACCCGATCCAGCCCCTTGGCTCAAATATCTCCTGCCTGCTGCAGGCAACGAGCTCAGCGTGCCACCGCTCATGCCCACAGCTAGCCAGAGCTGTGCGAGTCCCCAGCCCCTCGCCCCCCGTCCCCTCTAGCTGTCCGGTGATGCTTGTCTGTGACTCCTACCCATGAGAACCACCCCAAAGAGGAACTTCTCTTTTCCAGCAAAGCACACCAAGAATAGTTTCCTTTTTAAGGGTATCGCTTCTCTTGACAAGACTAAAATGCAGCTAATGATAAAATGCCTGTCTCTGTGTGTGTGTATATATATATGTATAAAATGTAAGGAGAAAAGTAATCCTTTGCTGAGCCTATTATGTACTTAATCAGGTTTAAATATTGTGCAATTCATTTTTAGCTAGCCTAAAACTTACTATGCCAAATCACGTGCACTGTCATCCATGTCTGAGAAATGATGGATTAAGTGACTTCACCTTTTGCATTTACAATAAGATGCATAAATAATAACTGTAACAAGCTATAACTAACAGACATTGCTTCAGCATCTAACCCTCCTCTCCAGTCTGTCCTGAACGTGCGAGTGTGAGTGCTGACCGCTGAAACCTGCCCCCGCCTTCCCGCCCTGCCAGCAAAAGCCGGGCAGGGTGCCATACCCCTGTTCTAACCACGCTTATTCTTCATCTGCAACCACTTTAGGTGGGGGCTGTCTTGGTTGTGAAATGATCCGCAGGGTGGGAGAGCCGTTGCTGGATGTTTCTGTGGCTGGGTGAGGAGGCAGCGCCGGGATAGAGCACGCTTGAGATTTTAGTGATGGCTTCTGCTGCTTTAGCGAGGTCCTGCTGTTGCTTTTCATGTCCCAGAGTTGGCGAGGCAGAGCCCTCTGCCTCTTGCCTTTCTTGCTGCTTATTTGTAGCTGACAACATTCGGGGGATGCCCAGAGAGCATCCTGGGAAGGGTTGGGGACCCCCCGCCACGCACTGCCCCAGATCTGTCGTGCTTCTGCTTCAGACAGCGAAGCAGCAGTCCTCTAACCCGCTTTCCCCCTGCCAGCTCTCTGCGGCTGCCCTGAATCCTGCAGGAAAGGTTTCGCTCCCAGTCTGTAATGCCTCCCTGGGCTCATCTGTCACCGGGAGCTGCCC